TATAAGGTAATTGCAATTGAGAATTTATTAATCTAGATTGATAATTAATAATAATTGTATTTTTAAAGGTAATAAACTATAATAGTTTATAACCTTTAGATATAAATTATAATTATAGAAATATAAACATTCAGTCAAGTAGTATAGAGTTGTTGTATAATATTAATTGTCCAAGATACATTATTTATTTAGTACATAGTTGCTTTTTGAATTCTATATAGAGTTTATAAGTAATAAAAATTGTTTAATAGATGTATATAAATGTTGAAATATATTGAGTCTAAAAATATTAAAATTAGTTTGCAATATTATTTAAGCTTATTAAATAGCTATTGTAATAGATAAACAGCAAGTCTGTTACTCTACTAAACAATAATACTAATATGATAAAACAAGCTTGAGGCATAGATTTGATTTAGTTAAGCATTACATTATTTATTTGTTTATTTTATACTCTAACTTGTATTTAATAAGTACTAATTATGTCTTTACTCTATACACTATAATTTCAAGAACTATGTCTTTTTCCACTATTTGAAACATTCAAAAATAAGTATTTCTTTATTAAAATTTTTGTCTTTTTATACAATTTGCCTTTACAAATAAATTTTATTTATTTTTAGATCTTATTTCTATTTTTCTACTATTTTGCCTTTTTTTAATTGTGCAATTACAAGTTTTACTTAACTGAGTAAGTATCTTATTCTAATTGGGTTCTGCTACTTTGAAACATTGCATCCATGGTCAAATGACTTTCTTACTTAGTTATATTCACCTTGCCTAGTATGTCTTGATATAAGGAGCTCAATTATGCATACTTTACTGTTTTGAAGATTAATTATGCATATACAATCTGTAGGTTCTGATTATTGTTTGTACTATGTATTATTATAAATAAATTATTCATTTTTCTAGGCTGTAATATTTTTTTAATGATTATCTTATATGTATTATACATTAGAAGTCTGGCAGTTGTTTTATTACTTAATTATTGTAATGATGGCTCTTCTTATGTATATAAAGAAAAAAGTGTTATATTTTCTTGAGTCTTCTTGCCATTTGAGTCAGAATTTCTTGATTGCTAATAACTTTCCTTTTGTCTTGTCATTTGAGTTCTTTTTCTCTTCTATACTTGGCATAGCAAATTATAGTATGTATTTGTTGTTAGTTATTATTATTAATTTTTAATTTTATTTTGATTTTTGATTTTTGATTTTTTTTTTGATTTTATTTTATTTTAATTTTTTTTGTTTTTATTTAATTACTATAATAATATTCTAGGATCTTTATATTAATAGAGGTAGGCAGCACTTTTCTAGTGATCATTCACAGCTTGTAGACTTGTTTGGAATCAATTATGCACATAATATAGGCCTAACTATTCCAGTTTGAATTTACTACTTCAGAAATATTCCATTAAGACCTTATACATCAACACCTTGTCACTAATATCAAATTTAAGTACTAATTTCTGATAAGTATTATAATATTGCTTTTGACATTCTTGAGCCTGTTAGATGTTATCTGATGCAATACTTCTTATTTGAAGGAGGTGCTCTATCAGTTTATAGGTTTGCTGAAGAATAGTCCTTTCAATAATTCTTTTTTATACTTGGATAGATAGGCTGTTAAGCTTCTTGGCTATAGTATAACAGTGCCATTTTTGTGAAGAAATTCTTATTGTATAGTAAGTAAACAGGATGGAGAAAATAAGTAAATCCTAATTTGGCATATTTTTAACAAGTTTAGCTATAACTTTACACAAAGTAAGATTAAATTATTCTACCAAGTTATTAGTTTGTAGTTAGTAGGATGTTAATAACTTGTACTTGGCTGCAAATTTATTTATGAACTTCTTAATAACATTATTATTAAAATAAGTATTATAATTAAATAGTATATACTCAGGACAGTCATGTTGACATGTAATTTCATTGTACAAGAAATCTGCAACTGTCACAGCATTTGCTTTCTTTACAGCCATCATCTTAAGCCATTCTGGCATGTAATCAACAACAACAAGAATGTAACATTTTAATCTTGATGTTTAAGAAAAAGGTTCTACAAAGTTGATAATGATTTGATAGAATAGTGCAGTTACTGAAATTGGTTGTAATAGGCAAGGCATTTGAGTCTTTTTTTTATAATGGCATCTATTACAACTTTGACTATAATTTCAAATATCAGTATACATATAAGGCCAAAAGTAGACATTCTTGATTTTATTAAACATTATATCTTTATTAAAATAGCCTCTTAATAAGTGTTGGTGTATCAAAAACAAGATGGACTCCACTTGTACTTCTGAATCATATGAAGCAGATGTCCTTTTTTTTCTGTTCTTTTTGTATAGAATGCTATTATTAAATAAAAAAAATTTACTTTTTTTTGCAATTTTTAGCTCTCTTTAGGTCAAGTACAGATAAAAGCTTGTGAGTTTAAGATATGTCTTGAGTTGGTTATAGTGAGTGGGCTTTATTTAATTGTTTGTTTAGTATAATTAAGCTATTTACTTATTATTTTATATATATTCTCTTGTTAACAGGTTTGTCAAGATACTGGAATTTGAACTGGATTCTGTATCTTAGATTTATAAGGAAGTATAAGAATTTTTTTTTTTTTTATTGAATTTTTTTTTTTTTGTTAAAGTCTCTATCTTTGAAATGTGAAATTTTTATTCAAGTATATAGGACACAGCATGCCACCAGGGGCTACCTTACATTAAAAGTTACAACAAGCTATACATGCACTTTTGGTATCTAATTTAAGTAGTTTGTTTATATATTACTATATAAAATCTATACTAGATGTTATATCTGCAAGCCAACTAAAGATCTTGCCTATTTTAATCCTTTGTATATGCAATCCTCTTTGTATCATGAAAACATTTTTAAGACTACATCCATTTAAGTTTTTGATGCTGATTAGTACTCTTAGAACTACTTTATTCTTAGCAGAAAACTTACTAGAGCCTTTATATTTTACATATACTTAGCTAGTTTTATACAACATACTATAGTTATCTAACACTTGCAATTACAAGAGTTATTTGTTTAACTGCTACATTATACTATTACTACCTTTGTAAAGTTTACTAAAACTCCAGTACCTATCTTCTTAGCATCTTCTCTATTATTTCCTACTAGCCACAACTTGGAACTAGCAGTCTCATGTCAGACTACCAATCCAGATGGCCTAATATAGTATACTTTTGTATCTTTTTTTTTTAGTAAGTCCAGTAGCCTAGTTGGTTATATGCTCCTTTATACATATTTGTTATTTGGTTTTAACCTTCAGTTTTATAAAGATATTTCATAAACTTCAACTGGTCTAATAGTATTGCCAAAAGTTTATACTACCTCTTTACTTAGGAATTTCTAAATAGGTTTTTGTTTTCTTAGTTCATTAGTCTCTACACTCTGTAGTCTTATTATGGGTTTGCACTAAAGTCTTATACAATACTGGTTATACATTTCTCTATGTTTATATAATGTTACAATTTATATAAATGCCCCAAGCTTCCAATGTTGGTAGAATTCAACTTGATGTATATGGATTATAGTTGCATAAGGCCAACTGATCAACAGAAAACAGTTATTATAATGCAAATATAATTTTCAATTTTGTCATAAGTGGGATTTGAACTTTAGACCTGCCACTTAGAAGATGACAACCTAACTACTATACTAGAATTACTATTCTTTTTTTTTTTTTTTTTTTTATTTATTTATTTATTTTTTTATTTATTTATTTATTTATTTATTTATTTATTTATTTATTTATATATATTATTTTTTTTTTAGAAAAGATTAGATTTAAGATAATGCATCTGTGTTATTATGTTTTTGATCACTTTGATATTGGATGATAAAGTTATAAGGTTGCAAATAAAGCATTCATCTTGCATGCCTTCTAGTAAGCTTTAAGGTCTTTAATCAATTTAGAGCACTATAGTCAGTTATTATAATGAAAGTATTCAAACTATAGTAATGATAGAAATGTTTTATTACTCAAAGTACTGCCAAACATTTCAGTTCTATAGTAGCATAGTTTCATTTAAGTAGTGTCAACCCTCTACTCACATATAAAACTATAAACTTTTTTTTATTATCATCTTTTTGTGTAAATACTTCATCAAGCTCAGAACCAAAAGTATTAGTATAAATATATAATGTTTTTATGAAGTCAGGATATTATAGAATAGAAGCTGTAATTAAGTGATGTTTGAGAGTTTCAAATACTTAGTTTTGTTCTTTTTTGCCATTTATATTTAACATCTTTTTTTAATAAATAATATAATAAGCAAGCAATAGTAGTGAAACCTTTAATAAATTATCAATAATACAATGCCAGTTCAATAAAACTACAAAGTTTGTGCAAATTTGCTAGGATAAAGAAGTTCTTTACCTTTTCAATTTTTGTTTCATTGAGCTTGATTCTATTCTGTCCTACAATGTAATCTAGAAAGTAGATATTTGGATTAAAGAAAGTATACTTTTCAAAATTTAATTTTAAATCTGCTTTTCTAAGCTTAGTAAAGACAATATTAATATTGCTTAAATGAAAAGTTTCTGAATAAATATTTATATTGTTCAAATATACAACAATAATTTTTTCAATATGGTTAGCCAAAATTTTGTCTATTAATTTCTAAAAACTAACAAAAGCATTAACAGGCTGAATGGCATGATGTTGAACTTATATATTTCAAAAGAGATAAGAAAACTATTTTTTCTTTATTATTTACTTTTACAGACAATTTCTAGTAACCACTTAATAAATCTAATATACTAAACCACCTTGCTTTAGAAAATACTTCTAAGATATCATCTATGTATAGTAAAGAATATGCATCTTTTTTTGTTACCATATTTAATTTATAGTAATTGATATATAGTCACAGCTTTTTGCCTTTTTTGAGAACTATGACAACTGGAAAGAACTATAGACTTTGTGACTCACAAATTAACCCTTTCTCTTTTAACTAGAATATTCTATTTTTAATAAAAATCTTTAATACTAAGGGCAGTCCTATATGGATTTTGCTTGATAAAGGTGATGTTACCTATATTGATCATGTGATAAGTGCAATTGGTGCATCCAAGTTTACTGATAGTTTGTGTAAAGAAATCTTTTTCTCTTTCCAATAGTTTTTTAGTTTTCTCCTGTTGTTCAGTATCTAATTTTTTATTAACATATATTTTTTTAACTTTTTCTTTCAGATCATTTATCTCAAGTTCTACAGAGGTCATTATTAATTCTTTAACATAGAACTGATATGCTGCAGAGCTTTGTACATCTTGTCATAAGTTGGAATAAAGCTTAGCATCCTTTTCATTCATTAATTCTTTAGTAAAGTAAGCTTTAGTTTTTTTTACTTCTTAATTCTTATAGATCAAATAGTCAAATAAGTTATTTTTATTATTGTAGAAATCCTTAATTTAGTTTTTTTACTTAGATAATAAAGCTTCTTTGATCTATTATTTGAAATCAGCACTTTTATAACTCATTCCAAATACCTTAAGATTATTTTTTTTTGTTAAAATATATATAATCATAATCTCTTTCAAACTAGTCATTACTTACAACAGAGTCTTATCAACTGAATCAATTACTTGAAGTGGGCTAGAGATAAACATGTCTTAAACCACAATTTTGGTACTCTTGATTTTTCTTAATGCTTTTGTTTTAACATCTGTATTGGTTACTATAACTATAGTAGACTTTTATTTAATTTTTAAGCTAAGTTTATTCATTAACTTTTTAGTAATGAAACTTGCAGCAGCTCTTAAATCTAAAATTGCAATCACAGAGTTATTTTTAATCTTACATGATACTGTGCTGTAGTTGTTTTTTTTCATCCTCATTAATGTAATTGGTCTCTTCTGCAATTAGAGTCTTCAAAGAGCTTTTTTTAAGTTTCTATATTGTGTAGAGTATTGTAGCATTTGTTCAACTACAACATTTGCAGGTTTAATTAATATATTACTAGTCATATTGTATAAAGCAAGTGAGTTGATTAACAATAGGCTTCTTTTTTTTCTGAGATCTTAGTAAAAAAAATGTTGTTATTATATTGCATTAAGTCTTTATTATCAATTAAAGGATAGATTTTTTTAGATTCTCTTAGTTGATTGTTAACATTATTTCTACTTCTTAACTGCCTTTCTATTGTGACTCAGAATTCAGAAGATGATTGGTATTTCAACGACTTTAGAGATAATAACTTTCATTAGCAACAAAAATTTTTCTTTCTATTTTATTATTATAATCATTATTAATATTGCCATAATTGGCTTTAACTTCATGCTTTAACACTTGAATAAGTTAGTTGGTCTTCTTTTGTAGAAGACTGGAGTTTCTCTTTCTTCTAAACATTTTCTTATATAGTGGCCTTTTTTACTATACCAATAATATATAACTGTCATATTTACTCTTATATGTGGTCTTGAATATAACTTATTTGCTTTAGCTTGAATTATTAACAAAACTATAAGTTTGGCATAATTGGTTGGCATGTTTTGGATTTGTTATGCCAACTTATTTATATTATCTTTCTACTTATTATCATCTTTTCTTTTTCTCTCTATAGCTGTATTTTTATAATAGCTTTTAGCTTCAATTTTTTTGGAGACAGAGATTGCTTCATCTAGAGTTTCTAGGTCTTTTACTAATACAAAGAGGCTATTTTCACTTGCAAATCTCTAATAAACATTTTAATAACATATTTTTTAGACAGGTCTTTTTCTAGAACAATTCTTTTTACAAATTTCTTAAATTTGTAGGCATATATTTATACATATTCATCTTTTTTTTGTATTAAGAAGATCAGTTCAACTTGCTATTAATGTTTCTATTTGGGAATTGCAAAGTGTTTTAAAAATGCAAGAATGAAGCTTCCTTCTTGATCATACTCTTTATCTAAATAATATATCTTTTTTTTATCATTGTAGAACCAGTTTGCAGCCATTTTAGCAAGATATCTAAATGCAATTTAAATTTTCTTTTTGTAATCCAATTATTAGTATCAGCAGCTCATTCAAAACCTTTCATTTATATGTAGAGATCCTCATCATTGTCTTCATAAAAGGAACTGACTTTAACCTAATTATTTTCTTGTTCAAATCATATGTCATTAACAGATTCTAAGATTGCATTATGAAAGGCATTAGAACTTTTTTTTAAGATGATATTGACTTGGTCTTGATTCATTTGTGTAATAGTTTCATTTTATTTGGCTTGGTTGTCTTTGCTGATTGAAGTATTAAGTAAGTTATTCATTTTGCTTTTTTCTTTTTTTTTTTCTTAAAAAAAAATTTTTTAAAAGTTTATTATTATTTTTTTTTATTTATATATAAAAAAATTTTTTCTTTTATATTAAAAAAATGATGTAAATTATTGTTAATTTGAAGTTTGTTTGTTAATCTCTATTGTAAGGTTTGTAAAGATTTAATTTAACTTTTTATTACTTTGTGAGTAATAAATTATTTATTTGTCTATGATTGATTAATTGTATAATAATTATATAATTTATGATAAGTTAATTAAAAATTTTGTTTGTTTTAGTAAAAAAAAAAAAGATTTTTTTTTGTTTCAGTTTATTAAAAATTTTGTGTCACTATAGTAATGAGTCATATTATCCTTCAGTAAAAGTACTTTTTCAAATCCTCTTACAGGATACTGAATTTTACTCTATAGCTTTTAGATAAGTTTTATGTTTTCTTTTGTCTTCACTGTATTGTTTTTCTTACTTTTGTTTCTTTTCTAACAGTTTCTCTTTTCTTTGTATAGTTTTTTAAATCGAGAAGAAGGGAGTATGGATGAATCTCTTGTTCAAGAATCTTACAGTCAACACCAAAAATAAGACAGATAAATGGCGAGTCTGTTACTCCAACAGACAAGACATTATGTAATAATACTAATATAATAAAACAAGGCTTGAGGCATAGATTTGATTTAGATAAGTATTACTTTATTTATTTGTTTATTTTGTATTCTAAATTGTATTTAATAAGTACTAACTATGTTTTTACTTTATATACAATAACTACAATAACTATGATCTTTCTTCCACTACTTGAAACACTTAAAAATAAGTATTTTTTATTAAAATTTTTGTTTTTTAATACAATTTTGTTTTTTATGATAAATTCTATTTATTTTTAGATTATATTTTTATTTTCTTACTATTCTGCCTCTTTTTAATTGTGCAATTGCAAGTTTTACTTGACCAAATAAGTATATTATTTCAATTGGTTTACTTTTATTTTATATTATTATAATTATGCTAATCTACCCTTTTTTAATCTGCATTCTATTAGTCTAAAACATTGTATCTATAGTCATATACCTTTCTAATTTGATCATATTTACCTTGTTTAGTGTGTCTTGGTATAGGTGCTTAATTATGCATGTTTTACTGTTTTGGGAATTAATTGTGCATATATGATTTGTGGGTTCTAATTATTGTTTATACTATATATCATTATACTGAATTATTGCATTTTTCTAGCCTATAACATTATATAATTTTATAGATATTTGTATTTTTGTTCAGTTCATCTATATATAAATAAGAATGTTATAGAATGTTAGTTGTAAACTAAAAGTTGGTTTGTAACTATTGAAATTAGATATAAATACTAATGTCTATTAGATTTAAGTATTAATATAAAGCTAAAATTTAAATATATAGTGTTGTACTTATAACTTCTATATATTTTTAATATCAAATATATTATAATTTATTAATATACTATTTGGTATAAATATTGGTAGTTTAGCTTTGTATTTGGTTATAGTAAGGTATTATAATAGTTATAGTTAATATTGTATATAATAATACTAAATTGTATATATAATATTCTAAAATAAGAATAATTATAATATTTATAATATATATAACTTGTTTGTCTATAATATTTTTAATTTTTAATATGTTGTTAAGTTCAAATACTTTTTGTTGTATTAATTTTGTTTGGGTTATATTGTAAAGCAGCTATAAACTAGCATTTTAGAAATTTAAAAGAAGTATTATATAGTGTATTTGAATAATATAGTTTATAAAACAAATATGTATAATAGATTTAGTTTTGAAATTAAAAAAAAATTGTGATTAATTTTTATATAACCCATTGTATAAAAGAATGCAGTGACCTATAGGTCAATAGTGTAGTAGTTAGTACTTCCAGATTACAATCACAAGATAACAAGTTTAAATTCTACTGGGTAACAACAACTTTACTAGGGCTATAATTAAAAAATCTTTAAAAAATTTTCCATTGGAGAAAAGAACAAGATTCATACATAAGAATACAGTCCACTGGCATAGCCACAGAGTCAGGAATAATCAGAAAAGGTGAATCTGTTAACAAATAATAATAACATTGAAGAAACTCAGTTAAAGAATATTAGATATAAAGAATAATCTAACTGATGTTCATGTAAAATTAGAAAACTGCAGACTGAATAAAAAAATAGTAGGTCCTACATTATGAAGCCAGAGATTCAGAATATTATATAATAGACTTAACAGAGCATAAGCTATCTTCATGAGCATGATAATGAATATGGGGTTCACATGCTATCTAACAATCTTCGCTGAATAACTCTGGTCTTAAAAGAGATGTAACATATCCTAAAGGTGTCTAAGAACATTCAGGATAGCAAAGGAAGGAGAAAAAAACAAAATGATGCAGCTGTTTGAATTATTGCTTAAAGCTGTTTTATTAAGTTTGCAAGCCATAATGTATTATTTATATATGCTAGTACAAATGCAAAGACAGTAAAAGATTGATATTTACTAGAACAAATTTGAATGAGTTATTTAGTTATTGCAGTATAACCAGTATATTTCTTGTGTATATATTTATTAAAGAATTATAGTAGATTTACTAAAGAAGAAAAGTTATAGTTTCAACTTAGTTTATATTATTTTTTATCTTATATAAGAGTATAAGTTTAAAATTAGTAATAATTTAGTTAAATCAATTGTGTAAAAAATTAGTTATTATATTAACTAATAAGTTAAAAATATTGAGTCATTGTAGTGCTCTGGTTAAAAAATGTATTTTTACAGAATTATAAGCTTTATTTATATCTTGAGACAGAATTTAGATATGTTTTTTAATAAATTTGGCATCTTTAAGAAAATTAATAAATATGTAAATTGGATTGTTAGTTAAGTTGTTAGAAAATAATATATAGTTATATAGATTAAGAATTTGATGTTAAGTTAAAACTTGTTATAAAT